AAAAGCTCGCGTTCTGATCTGTTAGTAGCAATAGGAACATTAGAATCTTCTATAGTACGTAGAACGTCTCATAAATAGCACTTCTTACGCTAATAAACCAATGTATGTTGACTACATTCTATTAATATAATAGTGTTTCGTATCGACTCTGTATCAAAAGGACTCAAAGAATTTCTGTGTACTTTACAGATAAATCCGGAGATGTTCAAAGTGATTCTAGAGGACAACCATACTATCATCCAGTATGATACTATCATCTTGTATGATGTTATCAACGCATAAACATCTTTCAACGAACACTTGCTGGTGACAGTATTATGTTTAGGAAACCTATTTGTTTGAATGGGCGCCCAAACTTTATCAGTTTCATGAATATTCATTTATCAAGGTATAGAAATTAAGCCTGAATTAGCTCGTAAGGTCTTGTGTGAATAAATTTATCTAGCAGAATGATAATGTTCTTCGCAATCAAATCGGCCTGGCTAATTAAAACCTTGAGGCAAGTAGCATCTGTATATGGAGTGATCGGCTCTTTTCTCTGATTTCAATTCAACTGAGCACGCTTGGAAATAATTACTAATGATTAAGGTCTAAAGACATGTTACGCACGTGTCAAGGACTTATACGAAATATTTAAGACGACTTAATGCTAAATCCAATCTCCACTTAAGATACAGAAGAAATTAAAAAAATGTTTAAGTACGTGAGCGTTATTCTGAGAAAACCAGTGTCGTACATAGCATAAAACTTTACTATTAGACATGAAACTGTCGGTGCTCACCAATTACATTTAGTATTAATCATATTCTTAATGTAATTTTAAACTATTTTTGTTTGATAATTTCTTACATTTTGCTATAGCTATTACATAAATAAATTTTCTTGAGATAGGCAAAAATTTTTTCAGGTACAGTAGTCAATTTTTACTTTGTACGCTTATGACAAATAAGTTATAATTTTCGAAAAACTTTTAGAATTCATAACGTTCCTTAATTTATAAAATCTAATATAAAGATCGATCAATTCAATATTGAATATTAAGAATAATTTTTAATTGCTGCTATAATTTCATTTAGAAAACATATTAATACAGTTTATGTATAAATTAATACAGATATATTAATTTATACATAAACTTATTTTTATAAAATTTATCCATCGAAGGATCTTTCTTATTTAAAGATACCGTAATAATATGAATTATTCAAATTAAACTTGGTTTAGCAATATATATAAATGTATATTCAGATTATTCAGAATTTATAAAATTATAAACACAGTGTAATTAATAGTTAGTTTCGTCTAGAATTATGAATAATTCACAATCTCCGTTATTTCGCGTATTTACACAATTTTACATTATTTTAAAAAAGGTTAATAAACGTATTTTTAAATATGAAAATAAATATCAAAATGTTTTAATCGGTATTAAATATTATACAATAGCTATTATATTATATTATAATCATTCTTTAACCAAAGTTATTCTTTAAAATTCATATCCATATAAACTTTAAAATATAGGAATCGTATTTTTAATGAGATTTCAAACTGTTGGCTGTTTGCTTTCAAATAAAGTTTCATTTGTTCATTCTTTACCGTGTTAAATTCATGTGCGCTTAAATTAATCAAGATGAAAAATAAATGATTAAAAACATGATGTTTAGAATTTGAAAAGCTATGCAAATATTTTAAAAAGAAAGTAAATGACGACATCAAACATGTATCAGAAAACGAAACCACCTCACATACATAATTACTAAACTCCAGAGAAATAAATCAGTAACGAGGGCAATGAGCTAAGCGGAAATTCAAATTGTACTGCTTCGAAAAATACACAATTGGTTGCTTTAAAATATACATTTGAAATCTTTTATTTTTGTCGAAAATAGCAGAAATACGGAGGGACTTGGCGTTTCAAGAGAATTCAGCAAATACTCGAAACGACGTTATCGAATAAATTTATTACAATATATTTTTAAATCCATTAGCTTTTCGAGACAAAGCTAATAACCGAAACAAAACTATGCTATAATGCAATTTATGTCATTCTCCACGTCATCATTACAACAGTTCTCTATCAATATTACGATTTATCACTTAAACTATAGGCTAAAAATTAAATGCTTTAGCAATTGTTGGGTATCTGTTACATATTCAACTAACACTTGATTATATATTATCATTTAAGTATCGATTCGTTTCGAACTACTGAATATAAATATAATAGTGTGACCTAAAACAATTACATTCATAATTATTATTCCTTACTAAAGTTAATTTTTACAGATAAATAAAAACAACCCGAAAGATAGAATTTATTTCTTTTTTAAATATAAATCAAGATAACATTTAAAGCTAAAATACCGTTTGGACAAGAAAGAAAAACTGCAACAAGAACTGATTTGAGTTTTCCCAAAGCTGGTAATCATTGGATGGTCTGAGTGAATCAATGCCATTTATCACCTCGACAATTTTGATAAGATAAAACGATTTGTTGATAAAACTTCTATTTCTGTGTCGAAGAGCAAAAAGAGCTATACGAAAAACTGAATTGAAAGGCACATTTTATTCACTTTTATCGAAAATTGAGGTTACTATTATATATTTTGGAGAGTTTGTGATGAACAAAAAATGGGAAATTCTTGCGTAATTTTAAAAAATAAAGTAATTATTTTTACGTTAACAGATTAGTTTTAATATTAAAAAAAATTCATATCGTACACGATAAGATTTTTATTCTTAAACTATTCATTAGTTTATCACTAATTCTCAAAATAATCCATCATCATTTTCTGAATCCTTCATATTTAAACAAGCATTAAATACTTTCAAATGTAACTAACATTTAGCCGAAAATTTTCAAAAATTATTTATTTTATCGACATATTTCTGCCAGAAGTATGAGCAGAAACAATTTTTATTATTTTATATATATTAGAGAAAAAAAAAAATCTTATAACAAACTAAAAACAGTATATATGAATTTAATTAACTACGCATTTTATCATCAGTTAGTAACTCATATTTGCTAAATAATTATAGATATAAAAAATTATTTCTTTCAAAAGTAATTAAAACTTAATGAATAAGTAAAGAGCAATTTTTCTAGCATCCTAAAAATCGTATTTTATTTTGTTTCTGCCTAAATTGTTTTAATTTATTTAATTCTCTAATACTATATTTTATTCTTTAAAAACAAACACGATCCATCCGTACTTGAAATACATTTAACACAAGGATTTGTCAGAAATAAAATCTAGCATTTTATGATCACTTTTGCCAAATAACTTCAACTACTTGATTATATCCGAGTTTGTAGGTAATCTTTTTGTATTGACGATTTGATTATGACGACGGACTAAGTGATATAGCGCTACCACTTCTTATCTTTGAAGTTACTGATGGGCAGTAATAAATTTTCCAGCTGTTCTTTCACAAAGATATTATCACACAACCCTTGCGTAATATTTGCAATATTGAAACAAAATTTGTAACAATTAACACTGTTACCTATCTTAACTGAAAAAACCTTTTATAAAAATTCTGTTCGTTTTTATTTTACATATACACATCATACACATATCATCGCATCCTCTATTACAGCAAAAAGAAAATCTGCCTTTTTTCAATGTCCGAATAGTATTAAAAAACTATATATAAAATAAAATAGTTACAGAAAAAAATCAATTTCTCCTGACAATATTTCTATATAATAAATTATAGTTTTCACCATATAATACATAAATGCAAAACATACAGATAACTATTTAGTTCTAACTAGATTTTAAAACTTTCTAAAGAAAAAAAATATATAGGCCTATATATATATTCGAATAAAATCTTATATTTAAAAAAATATATAGTCTATATATTAAAATATAAAATTTTATTCGAATAAACGCTTATATTTTTAAAGCAATAAAGTTTACAAATTACTTTCAAATATTATCGCACTTTTTATAGCATTATTATAAACAAACAAAATAAAACTATAGTAGTATCACTAAGCAACGTATAAAGTCTTATATAATGCTTCCATGCTTTTAACTCATAATTACACACACACATACACACACACAGACAGTTTATTGAGGCTATATATTTTAGTGAAATAAAAATAGTCTTTTCTATATAAAGTGTAAATTTCGGTGGAACGAGTTGCCAAATATTTAAAATTTTTATTTCAATGTCGCAAGTTTCTCTTTAGGGAAATAAAAATGAATTGTTCCTAAGTTTTTTATGTTTCTATTTCATAACAATCGATATACGAAGTAGAAAATTATAATAATAATAGAATATCAACAAAAATTTTATAGATGTAAACATGTTTTCATCTCATACAAGTGTTCTAGATATCTTAATACTTCAGTTTTGATTTGATCTCTAAGTCAAGAAAAATCAATATATTCTGTACTCAACACTCAATAAACTCCAGACACGAAAAATCCACTTTACTTTTGTAGCAATCATGAAATAGTAGAATGAAGTTCATAACTCGTCGACCATAAAACAGTTACACAAAATAATAACTGTAAAAATTTCGTAAGAATATTTGTAATTCTTTTTATCTATAACGAACAGCAAAAAATAAATAAATAACGAAAAGTATTTCAGCATGTAATATTCGCAATATCCAATAATCATCTGTTTCTTTTCGTGACACACACAAAATTTTTATGTCAAAATATTTGAAGTGAAATTAGAGAGGGGGAAAAATTGTTGTTTTTTTCCTATATCTACCTAAGTTGTAATTTTATTAGTTGCTTTCAACGAATCGTTATACTGTCGAATATAACAGTATTTTTATTCATGATGTTCGCATTCAATCATATAACCTACACCTTTTGTACGCGCTTCACATCTAAACATGTCACGCACATAACACTAACAAAAAAAAGAAAAAAAAAATTGGTCACGTAACTGTATAACGATCGACAAATATTACAGAGTTTCGCTAAGAAATAACATACAAGTAAATATGAAGAAATAATTCTTACCGAGAATGTAAGACGATTGATGATAGGTGAAAAAAAAATTCACTTACCTAAAAAAGAAAATAATAATAATTAATATATATTAACAACAACGGTAATTTAAGTTAATGCATATTTTAATAGAATTTTTTTTCGTAACTAATTATTATTTAATTTATAATTCGTTATAAAATATGCAACTAAAAATAAGATAAAGATTTAATAGGGCATCGATTTAAATCAAGATTTAAGTCATTAATTTATTATTTTTTTCATGAAGATGATCATTTATTCAAGTATAAACCCTAAGTACCTTATATTATGTCATTATAACATATTATAATGGTTAATTCATTATTTATTACGTTGTAGAAACAGAATAGAAAAACGTTTAGTCATTAATTATTATTAATTAGTAGACTTTACTAAATATATCTAGTATGTTGAGAATTATTTATTAAAGTAAACCATAAAATTAATGTGTATAATTATAAACATAGAAATTATTACTAAAGAATATTCTAATCATTCTATGAATTGTTCTTTAGTTAGATTTTCATCTAGTGAGAGTTTTGGACAATTAACGCGATTTGAAATTCTATTGATTTTGCAAATCTCACGACAAATTCCCATATAAGATGCAATTTGAATTATCATTTACTCTTAGATTATGCGTCAATCTCGCTAATTCTAATCATCTACATGATTGGCAATATGTGATAATCACCAAATTTGCGAATTATTCATGATACTATACTAAAATCAATTTTAATGTCATGTATTTAATAATCTCACTCGATTATTACTTTAAAAAAACAAACTTTAAAAAATGTTTAATTGACATTTTTTAAATTTCGTTTTTTTTTCGTAGAAATAATAAGCATAAAATCTAAAATGCTAAAGAGAAAAAAAAAATGTTATTAAAACTTAAAAGCATTCTGACTTATTATGATGTATTAAAAAATCGACGTCGCAATGATAAATTTCTCATATACTATTGTATTTTCTTGCATATTGAATAGTTTAAATATTTTCACATTTCTTACCATAGTGATAGATGATTTGTACGGGTTTCAAATTTTTCTACTCTTCCACCGAGAGAAAGTCAACGATAGGTTACTCAAGACGACGTGACAAAAAATAAAAATGAAGGTAATTTTAATACTGAATATAGATTGAAAATTACCTTGGAATCATATAGAAACATATCCATTTTCGGAAAAGAATTTCATCTCTCATTATTGATAATATCAAAGTTTAAGACTGTTTGGAACTAACATATATTAATAAATCATGGCACTAAAATCTAAAAACAGAAAACTGAATATGATCGTACGTAATATAGCTGAAACTGTTCAGAAGAAATTGATTAAAATAACGAAAGTAATATTTTACAGCCATTGCTGAAAATTATCCGACAGCAGAATTTCAATACCGTTCTTAATTCGATGAATCGCGAATTTGAATCGTGTATCCGATCATTATTTATAATCATTGTCAAATTTTAATGCGGATTGCTACTTGGAGAGAATGCATTATAACTATAGTTTGTGGGAATAAATAAATATACAGTCACGCCAATCTAACGTCAATAATTGTCGTCTCTGAAACTGGCGCTAAATCGAGTGTGGCTTTAAATCGAAATACATCAATGAGAATTTATATCCTATATACAAGATCTACTTACAAGTTTGAAAGTACGAAAGTAATGTGATTGGTAGCAGTAATAACGATAATGCAAAGTCGCGCAGTTACTAATTCTCATACACTGTAAAGATTTTCTGTTTAATATTAACGGGAAAGGTTCTTTCATTAATATTCATTGGAGCTATACGAGGATGAAACTATACCGAGGTTTGACTGTAATATGTAAAGTACGTAAATAAAATACACAGTCTCAAGATTCGAAATGTATTATACAAGTAAATGAAATATATATGTAACAAATATAACAATAAACTTTATAATACTACTAGAGAAAAAAGTTACATTAGTAATGATTGATTATACTAATATTTCTATTAAGTAAATTGTGAAAAACGAAAAATCAACTGATTAATCAATTTTTTGAAATGCAGTCTACAACAGTACTTTGTCATATGAGATGCACATGATTTTCATATTGTTACAATTTAAAATTAAAAAAAAAACAAATACTATATATAGATTTCGTAATTCTCGATAATAATCGAAGTAACGTTTAATAAATGCTTTATTTTTTGTCTATAAACTAGGCTGAAAAAATTAGCACGAAAACATATCACCGTTTAAGATAGTGATTTATTCTTCTACAAAACAAATCTTCAAAAAATATTAATACGTATTCAAGAACAAATATAATATAAATATATCAGAGAAGAATAAATCATTACTGATAAATTTTCCAATGAAGAAATCAAAGTGATGTACTAAACAATTCTACATTAAAACGAAGATCCACAGAATGTTCCATAGAATTATCAAGCAATCAAATTCTTCATTTCATTAGGAAATACAATTTTTATTTATAATTCGACTTCTTAATTAATGTATTAGAATTTTGAGCTTCTGTAATAAAATAAAATACATACTATATTCAAAATGTTAATAAATTAGCTATTTTAACCATTGTAAAATATGGCATAATATATCACTTATCCATTTAATCATTAAAATAGCACAGTCAAAACCTATTACACAGTATAGCCTTAAAATACCTTATTTTTCACAAATTTACGTTGTATTAATTTATAATTACTTAAATATTAACCTATATATTTTTTATAACAAACGGCAAAACTAAGAAGAACGGGAAAATAGAATAAAGGAAATCCAAACAGCAGTGCAACCTCTATCTTCAATCATTTCTTTCACGGCAATGGGAAGAAATTGTTCAGCAGTATTTATTTTCTCCCTTCAAAAAATATTTCATTTGTATGTATAATATACTTTTCTTTTTTTAATCCACTTTTGCATTCGATTACAACAATGAAATCTACGAAATACAATTAAAGTATTTTCTGCAAGTATTGTTACCAATTTCAACTTTTATTATAAATACGAATAGAAGAATTTAAAAGAACTTTTCATTTATGTTAAACATTCAACAACAAAATTTGTATTTATTATCTTAAAAATCTACTCGATTAATCTTAAAAAATACTTTTAATGTATGTTTTCCGCCATTCGGATGGTAGAGTTATCCGAGTGGAGAAACGTGTCACTGAATTACTCCCAAGAATTCCCGGATTCTATTCTCATCCGGATAAAACAGTTCTTTCATCCGGAAATTTATTGTCTATAATACAGAAGAGAATAAAGAGAAAATATATAATAGAAAATTAATCATCAGCGACCACTTATAATTATGTATAGGCTATATTTAACTGAGAACCGTTTTTCCTTCTATTATATATTTAATATTTTATAGCAAATATACCAATCTTGTATCTTATAATTCAGCCAATAATTTGAAGACTAAATTATATATACATATATGTATAAAATTTAAATCTTAATTCTATTACATGCGTCATTTAAGGTGTGATCATTAATTAGCAAATATATACCGTATATTTTTAATATATTGATTATATGGAACTTTAATTAACGAATATAAGTTTATATAGGCCTATAAATTCATTGGGTATTTAATATTGACTTTTTTTTTATATACTCTAAACTATTCTTTTTTAAAATCTATATTTGATGAAAAATAACTCAAAAACAATTACCATGTAAAATCTGATTTTATAAATAAAATTAATTGTACGAAAAATAATTTGAATTATTCTTAGTTACTGTAGCCGAATATAAATAGTTAAAGCGATGTGTTTTAAAACAATGGAAATGATAAACATTACTGTTATTAAAGTGTCGTGAATGATGACTCTTTGTAACGATATTCATTCCGTTTATGAAGGAACTTTTCTGTTAAAAATATTTGACAGGAGAAGATTAGCTTAGGAAACTCTGATTCTAATCAGAAGTTCCTGAACTAATCATCAGTTAATCAATGAAAGAGGTCACTTTTCTGCGGCATGTAAGCAAGATCTGTTGCCTATCTATCCGACTACAATTTACATTTTAAGAGTCTGAATAGTATTTCGATGCTAAAGAATGCAACTCTATTAAGTGAAATTCAACTCTGCCGAGATGCATTTCCAAGATTTAATTATTGTAACTTTGAAAATTAAAACAAAAAAGAAAAAACAGTCATCAAATAAAGCAATTTTTTTCCTTTTTTTAAAAGCAATTATTTTAATCATTTTAGTATAATACTAATTTAAAAAATTTATCTATCTCTCAGCATAATTCGTATATTCATTTTGAAAACTATTAAAAAGTTTTAAAATTTTTTAAAACATTATTTAATACAAAATTTCTATCTTTCGTAAAATCTTTTCACAGATCAATATTAACCATTTGTGTATCATGCAGACAAAATCATACAGTAGAGCACATTAGCTTTCGAGATATTGCGCAGACAAAAGGTCAACAATATTGAACATTACACACAATAGAAAACTGTTTACACTACGCCATATTATTGAAACGTTAAATAATAAATTTTAAATAATGGTATTAATTTATTACAGATAGAACAATTTGTTTAGATTAGTTTTCTGTAATTTTACAGAAATATTCAATCCTTATCCAAATTAATTTCGACAAATGAGGCGTATAATTTCAAAAACGGACAAACTCTACTTTTTCTGGATCTAAAACATAAGAGTTGTGAATGCAGCTGATTCTGAAACCAACCTCTAATTTTCATCTATTCGTTTTTATTCTTTCTTTATGTTTTGCTGCTAGTTTAGAAGTTTTTAACAATCGTCATTGAAAAAGGCTGAAAAATACGAGTACGTAAGATCAAGTGCTTAGCTAAACTTAGCTGTTTTTAAAATTATACACCTCAAATGTTGATTTGTTAATGGAATCTTAACAAGCAGACACCCAAAAAGCACTTACGTTAATACAGGTTTCAACTTTTTTTTTAATTTACTTAAAATAAAATTATTTTTCAAAACGAAAGCCTTTGGTTCTGCGATAATATAAACTTTAATAGTATGATTTGAATTCGATCATTACCTTATATTTATTTCCTGAGTATATCAGATCGTAAAAACTTAATTCCATCTCGTAGTTTCCTCATTATAGTTCAATGTAAATTGTTTTGAGGCTAAACATAAAAAATTATTTTGAAAAATCTATTTTTATATGATAGAATGAAAACAGTTGTAGAAAGTCTATGCTAGTATGTTATACTATAATAAAGATCTAACTATGAACAATTTCATTTTTTCTTTTATTTCTAAGTTTTCCATAGCAAACGTTCTTATTTTACTCATTATTAAACACGTTAATATTAACTCATTCATAACTGATCAGAAAAGCTAAACACAATTTGATAATACATATTAGTCATATCATACTAATTTACATAGACATAACACTTTCCGAAATCAGATACTTGTCCAGTATTTCATTCACAAATAATTTATTAATAATGAATATTCATTTACTTACTTATTAAAATCATTATTTATAATTCTGATGTTTTAGAAGAATGAAATATTATATCAATGGGTTATGTAATTAAGCTAACTATTATTAGCTAATTAACACTGAACGAGCTGTTGATATAGAACAAAATAATCACAAAAACGACAAGTGTAACTAAAACTAATTCCAAGTGTACAAAGAAAAATTCTCATACTACTCACGTCTTCATATTTAATTTGATTTCATAACATTATTTTATTTCGGGGGGAATCAATATAATTCTAATTCCTAACTGCAAAATCTTGCTACGAAATTTGGTTAAGCTTTAAGCAATTATTAAGAAATGACTTTAACGATTAAATGTCTAGATTACACTTTGCAAATTAGTTTTTGTGATTATGAAGCATAAAATCATTTTTTAAAAAAATGTGTAGCAAAGTCAACTAAATTCTGTCGATGGTTTACAACTACTAAATCTAATACGGCAAGCAACGCTTGAAAGCTTCCATTTCCTACCTGCCAAGTATAAACTACACAAGAGACAAACACAGAGATTGACAAATGGCTATGTCAGTGGATAGCAGCGATAAGTTCGAGAGGCCCGTGAATAATTCATCGCCATTCCCACACAAGGAACATTTTACGTGTCTTGCCGGATCTAATTATCTCTAGTGCACTTCTCTCTTTTGCTGGCGGAAAATAGAAGAAAAGAAGAANCTGTTACATATTCAACTAACACTTGATTATATATTATCATTTAAGTATCGATTCGTTTCGAACTACTGAATATAAATATAATAGTGTGACCTAAAACAATTACATTCATAATTATTATTCCTTACTAAAGTTAATTTTTACAGATAAATAAAAACAACCCAAAAGATAGAATTTATTTCTTTTTTAAATATAAATCAAGATAACATTTAAAGCTAAAATACCGTTTGGACAAGAAAGAAAAACTGCAACAAGAACTGATTTGAGTTTTCCCAAAGCTGGTAATCATTGGATGGTCTGAGTGAATCAATGCCATTTATCACCTCGACAATTTTGATAAGATAAAACGATTTGTTGATAAAACTTCTATTTCTGTGTCGAAGAGCAAAAAGAGCTATACGAAAAACTGAATTGAAAGGCACATTTTATTCACTTTTATCGAAAATTGAGGTTACTATTATATATTTTGGAGAGTTTGTGATGAACAAAAAATGGGAAATTCTTGCGTAATTTTAAAAAATAAAGTAATTATTTTTACGTTAACAGATTAGTTTTAATATTAAAAAAAATTCATATCGTACACGATAAGATTTTTATTCTTAAACTATTCATTAGTTTATCACTAATTCTCAAAATAATCCATCATCATTTTCTGAATCCTTCATATTTAAACAAGCATTAAATACTTTCAAATGTAACTAACATTTAGCCGAAAATTTTCAAAAATTATTTATTTTATCGACATATTTCTGCCAGAAGTATGAGCAGAAACAATTTTTATTATTTTATATATATTAGAGAAAAAAAAAAATCTTATAACAAACTAAAAACAGTATATATGAATTTAATTAACTACGCATTTTATCATCAGTTAGTAACTCATATTTGCTAAATAATTATAGATATAAAAAATTATTTCTTTCAAAAGTAATTAAAACTTAATGAATAAGTAAAGAGCAATTTTTCTAGCATCCTAAAAATCGTATTTTATTTTGTTTCTGCCTAAATTGTTTTAATTTATTTAATTCTCTAATACTATATTTTATTCTTTAAAAACAAACACGATCCATCCGTACTTGAAATACATTTAACACAAGGATTTGTCAGAAATAAAATCTAGCATTTTATGATCACTTTTGCCAAATAACTTCAACTACTTGATTATATCCGAGTTTGTAGGTAATCTTTTTGTATTGACGATTTGATTATGACGACGGACTAAGTGATATAGCGCTACCACTTCTTATCTTTGAAGTTACTGATGGGCAGTAATAAATTTTCCAGCTGTTCTTTCACAAAGATATTATCACACAACCCTTGCGTAATATTTGCAATATTGAAACAAAATTTGTAACAATTAACACTGTTACCTATCTTAACTGAAAAAACCTTTTATAAAAATTCTGTTCGTTTTTATTTTACATATACACATCATACACACATCATCGCATCCTCTATTACAGCAAAAAGAAAATCTGCCTTTTTTCAATGTCCGAATAGTATTAAAAAACTATATATAAAATAAAATAGTTACAGAAAAAAATCAATTTCTCCTGACAATATTTCTATATAATAAATTATAGTTTTCACCATATAATACATAAATGCAAAACATACAGATAACTATTTAGTTCTAACTAGATTTTAAAACTTTCTAAAGAAAAAAAATATATAGGCCTATATATATATTCGAATAAAATCTTATATTTAAAAAAATATATAGTCTATATATTAAAATATAAAATTTTATTCGAATAAACGCTTATATTTTTAAAGCAATAAAGTTTACAAATTACTTTCAAATATTATCGCACTTTTTATAGCATTATTATAAACAAACAAAATAAAACTATAGTAGTATCACTAAGCAACG